AAAAAAAAAAAAAAAAAAAAAAAAAGTTTGGAGACAGGATCTCACTCTATTGCCCAGGCAGCGGGAAGCCCCCAAAAGTAATACCAGTTATGGGATTTCTGGGCACTACTAGGTGCAGATCAGAACTCTGCACAGCAGAACATGTTCATTTTTATACTTTCCTAAGTTGTTGGTTTTATTTAAATAACCATCCAGGCGTGGTGGCTGGCACTTATAATCCCAGCTATTCAGGAAGCTGAGACGGGAGGATCACTTGAGGCCAGGAATTCAAGACCAGCCTGGGCAACATAGCTCTGTCCTACCCCACCCTTGACCCCCAACCAAAAAAAGTAACAGGCTTCTTATACAAAAGTTCAACAACATTGCTGAAATTAAGATTCACAGTGATGGGTTTTCTTTCCTTTGGTCAAATGGAGGGGTTTCCACTTGACCAAAGAAAATTTCTACTTGACCAAAGGAAAGAAAACCCATCACTATGCCCTTGCAGTTGAATTTACAGACCTCCCCAGTCACCAGCCAGCAGAACCAGAGCAAAATGAGCAAGAATTCAAGGGGAAAGCATGCAGACTTGACCAGTCACGCCTACGAACAACTGCTTCCTCCCTACTGGGACCTCCTCTTTATAAATCCCTCTTTCAAGTCAATGCTCCACTTACCTATCTCACGTTTTCTTTCATTGGTCGTACAATCGTGAAAAAATTCTGTCATCAGACTTTCCAGTGCCCTGAGGGAGGCTTCTTCAGATGCCTAACAAAGGAATTTGAAAAAAAGAATCAATAAACTGCATCTTCAGTTCCATTGTTCCTCAGTTCCTTCTAGATCACATTCAACAGCAAGAGCAATTTACTTCCTCAAAACATCTTGGTTCAACATTCTTCAAATGCATGGTAAACGCCAGAAAAACTGAAGGGAATTTCCCAGCTGGCTCGAAACCCAATGCTGTTGCATCCTCTATAAATTCATGCTATTGTGCAGCTGATTTGCAATTAGGTATCCTAAGGAAAGGGGAAATTCAAAATTCAACTCTGGAATAATGGTTCAAAGCAAATTAGCAGCCTCTGGCCCTTCCTGAATGGGCAAAGTCGGTAGACTCCAAAAGGCAAGCACTCCTCATAGACTATCCATCCCTGAAACATTTCCCCTGTGTCTGAATAATTTGCCATATTTTGATTCAGAGCACTTATATCAAACTGCTTCATGGATTCTCAGGGGTTTTCTGGGGGGACCGGGGAGAGATGTTTTTTTTAAGAGACAGGGTCCCTGTTGCCCAGGCTGGAGTACAGTACTGCGATCATAGTGCTACAGGCTTGAATTCCTGGACTCAAGCGATCTTCCTGTCCCAGCCTCCCAAAGCAATGGCACTATAAGTGGGAGTCACTCACTGCACCTGATCATGGATTTCTGGAGGTCTTTTGAAGGCACTGCAGGAGGCATATATACAGTCAATTCTCAAGCTCACATGAGCAGCCAACAGAGATTAAAGTGCAACTGAGAATGAAGCTAAATAGGGATTCAAAATTAGCACCTGTAAACCACAGACCCACGGTGAGAACTAGACTCTCAGCAGAACTGCTCAGGTTGGAAATGAGAGGAGAGGGAGCCCAAGGCCCCCAGGGCTCACCCTCTCCCTTTGAGGTTTCATATGGAGCCCCAAAACCCACTTCCTTTATTCCAACTCAAGTAGGGGGATGTCAGTCATGGCCATGACCTTAACACTCCTTCATACAACCTGCCTGCAAAAAGGCAACCATTCCCAAACCACTTCTGAGTCATCACTGGTATAATTCTACCCCAGGGGTAAGCAAGAGCCAGCAGCAGTTCTGACTGTTTAATTACCTCTTAACTTCTTTCTTCCTAACTACCTCCCTTCCCCATATCCTCTCCATTACCCATGGACTGAGCGCTCACTGTAAAAACTGCATTTTAAAACAAGAAGCCCACACTCGAATGTGTCACATGTCAAACTGTAATAAACCAGAGACCTCCATCAGGTGATTGACTTTGTGAAGACTGAGGAACATTTCATCTCTGTGGAAAAACCAGCACGTCTCAGTACCAATTACAGAGGCTGAATCAGACTTGATTCACAAGCGTGTGCACAACAACCAACACACGCAAATGCACTACACAGAACACAGGGCCACGTTCTAACAGTGTAAGGCACATCTGTCCCTCCCACACTGAGGTCACAGAATGATGGCTCTACAATGACACCTGGACTGTGACACACTGAGTGATCAATTATTGTACAACAGTTTTAGCGCTTGTGAGTTAAAGGTACTTTCTTCCCTGAACTTTATATTAGAATAAAGATTAACTCCCTGCTCCTTTTTCAAACTTCCATACCGATTTAACTAAAAAATATCCTTGGCTTGCAAGCCAAGCTTTTTTTATTAAAAACTATTTTTTTCAAACCCAGAAATAAAATCCAAGCCTCTTAATCCAAGCCTCTTCTTAAAAATGAAGCTAAAATAAGACTGCAATCTTCTAAAATCTGTTTCAAGTATTTGTGTTGATCAAAACAGCCTCACTGTTCTCACTGACTTTATAAATAAATGCTATAAATACAAACTTCTAAAACGAACGTACATAAATAAAAGAACGCCATAGTCTGTTTCATAAATTGAGTCTGGTATGCCATTTCATTCGAAAAAAGGGTTTGCTATTTAAAATAAAAAGGCTGTGGGAAGATGCAGAAGAATCAAGAAAAATAGTGCAGGTTAAAATACATCAATAGTTCTTCTGGAGCCAAAATGTGTTCCTGGAAACTAAGGACAACATCTGCAAATCATCTCTCTCCACAACTTCTTGTGCTGAATCATTTTAAAAGCAGATCCTGGAATAAACTTAAGTTTATCACATCCAGGCAATCAACCACCAAAATTTATTTAGTACTAGTTCTTGCGGAAGGGATTTGAGAAATAAATGATTACTGGCAAGTTCCTGAAAATATACAAAACGAATCCAACTCTGGGCTGGGCACGGTGGCTCACGCTTGTAATTCCAGCACTTTGGGAGGCCGAGGCAGGCAGATCACAAGGTCAGGAGTTCAAAACTAGCCTGGCCAACAGTGAAACCCCGTCTCTACTAAAAATACAAAAATTAGCTGGGTATAGTGGCGGGTGCCTGTAATCCCATCTACTTGGGAGGCTGAGGCAGGAGAATCACTTGAACCTGGGAGGCAGAGGTTGCAGCGTGCAGAGATCATGCCACTGCACTCCAGCCTGGGCGACAGAGCTAGACTCCATCTCCTAAAAAAAAAAAAAAAAAGAATCCAACCTTGCCTCCATTCCCAGTCCCACCTACCCTTTACTCTCTGCCGAAACCCAAGAAGTAATGGTTCCCACAGAAAGGGGAAGGACAAAGTACTCCTAAAAGTCCCAGATAGACTGGTCCAAAGGTAGTGAGTTATCTCAATGGGCTGTTCGCAGTCAGTCACAGATGCGACTCCCTGTTCTACTCTTCCCCCCTCCCCCCGCCGCCAACGTTCTCACTACTGCACTTTACTCGTCTTCCAAAAAAAAAAAAACCCAGATGCATTCTCCCGTTAAATGATGGCTACATGAAAAAGGAAGCTCCAAAGCCTAATCCAGAGCATCACTAGGTGTTTCTCAACAAGCACAAATTAAGTGCTATTTGCATTTTTAATCATTTCTATAACTACGACAATAATACCTGCCTCACAGAGTGATACAGGATCGAATGAGGCGATCCATGTAAAACTGCTACATAAACTGTAAGAAATTCTCTAATCTGTAGTTGTGGCTGCTCCCTTTTTTTTTTTTTGAGACAGAGTCTCACTCTCTCGCCAGGCTGGAGCGCAGTGGTGCAATCTTGGCTCACTGCAACCACTACCTCCCAGGTTCAAGTGATTCTCCTGCCTCTGCCTCTCAAGTAGCTGGGATTACAGACGCACGCCATCACACCCAGCTAACTTTTGTATTTTTAGTAGAGACGGGGTT